TTTTAATTTTATTTAATAAATTGTAAATACTTTTCAAAATTCCAGACAAATTTGCCTGGAAAACAGTTGAAGGGATAGTATAGCTACTATTGATTATAAGCATTGCACTATTTATATTATAAAGTATAGTCAATTTTATATTGTATAGCTAACATCATCCATCCTTGTTATATTGCATGATTTATGTCATACATATTTTAATACATATTTCAATATTACCACTAGCACTAATATTTATTTATGATAATTTTTTTTTTTTTGCAAATGCTAATACTAATAAAACTCTATTGTAACGAATATAGATAATGATGATGAATATTTAATATAATCAAAAAATTAATAAATTGGGCTTTATGTAAAACACCTCAAATACTTGTATTATCATTATTTTCTTGAATTGAATTAGCAAAGATTGCTTGTAATAGTAATTTTGCCGATTGTAAGAGAGTGTTAAAATCAATATTTTGTGCAGATAAAGATTGTTCTAAAAAAAAATTTAATATTAGTATAAAATTAATCAATTCTTTTAAATCTGTAGTATCGGTTAAAATTATAATTACCTTTTAATAAATTAAATGCAATTTTAAAACTTTGAATTGTTTGATCATTTTGAGTAATATGATTGTTTTGAGTAATTTAATTGTTTTGGATAATTTGATCATTTTGAATAATTTGATTATCTTGAATAATTTGGTTATTTTGAATAATTTGACTATTAGTTGGTAAAATTGCACTATAAAGATCTGTGATATTTTTCATTTGTAAATTATCTTTTGGTCACTCATATGATATCATGCCACAAATTGTTTTATGTCTTGAAATCGTCATTACTTCATAATCAGATTTATCCATATCTTTTAAACTTTGAATTAAAGTTTTTTGACCTAATTGATTTGTAATTTTTCTGTTTGACAATTCAATACTATCATACACATAAAATTCTTAAGCCAATTTTCCCCATATGTGCTTTTTTATACCAGATTTCTGCTTGCTCAAAATCTAAATGAAATCATAATATAGTAATAATAATAATAATAACAATGAGAAAATATAATATCAATTACATACCTTTAAGATCTTCAAGTGGTTGTAAATAAAAATTCTCATCAGCTTTGGGAGGTCACTTAAATAAATAAAATTCATATAATTGAATAATTTTTTTATTCGTAGATAAACATATTTTTTCACAATTTGAAAATGAGTTTAATCCATGTTGATTTGTTTTACTCTTATAGATTATGACTTCATAATTTCTATCTTGCTGTTTAATAAAACTTGATGCTTTTAATGAATAGTGTTCTCCACCTCTTAATCCAAGAAATATTGCATTACAAAAGAATACTTGTTTTAATAATCCCTATAGATGTCCAATAAATATAGAATGATGATCAAGAATTTTTTTAACTTCTTCTAAACTCAAACCACCTGATCTTTTAGTTTCACCTAATTCTTTTTCAGCAAGGTATTTTACTTTTCCTTTAAGAAGTTTGTGCAACTGTGAAATTTGTAATGATCAAGAAGATCAACAGGTTTTAAACCAGATTTTTTATTATGCCAATGTATAATTGTATTAATTGCAGATTTAATTGACGCAATGCTATAATCTAATCTATCTTTCTTTTTTGCTTGAGTAAAGTAAAAAACTAGAACTTGTTCTAATTCCATAAGTGATGGTATTTCATGAAGCTAAAATTGATATCCACTTTCTTTTCTATAATGTTCAAATTGTAATATCTAATTATTTGTAGTTTTTTCAGTGTTTTTGACAACAGAATTTTGTAAAAAAAAATCTATCTCATTTTAATTTGGCTGTGTAAAGTGTTTAGTACTTTCTTTTGGCATTGCTTAATGAAAAAAAATTATGAAAAGAATTTAAAAAAGAGCATATAAATTAATAATAAACTACTTTTATATTTTTTATATCATATTTTGATGACATAAATATGAGTTAAAAAGTTATTTTAAAGAACATAAATAGTTTAATTCATGATCAATAACTACCGTGCTATAATACCAATATAGCATGATAATTCTGAGATATAGCATATTGGTATGGCGACAATTTTTTGCCAAAGTAACAATTGTCTGTCATGTGCTGCAAAGCAGTACATGACAGCCAATTGTTACTCTGGCAAAAAATTGTCACCATACCAACATGCTATTATATCATATTATCATACTATATTATATAATTATATATATATAAAATTAATAAGAATAAAATATATATACGAATAAAAATTATATAATTATATATATATCTTGATATAATAGATGCAAGTAGATACAAGCTGATATAATGGCATTACAATATCTTTATACTGTAAATTATAAAATTTTATTGCTTTAGGTTTAAACAAGTTGATATCTGAAAGATGATTTATAGCCACTGTAATTTTAATTAATGCTACATAGCAATTAGCAATGGTTGCATATACAGGTTGAAATCAAAAATATCTTCTCTGTATCTTCAAATAATCAGCCTAGATAATAGCAGGACAATATAGTGATGGCTATAAACCAATATGATAGGGTATTAAAAAAGCTGATATGCTGAAGATTATGGTAAAATATGATGCATATATAGAAATTAATATTTGAATATTATTAAGATGATTTGTTTATCATATAGATAGAAGATATAAGGCCGATATGAACAAGATTTTTTAATGATAATTTGATGATTAGATAAATCATTAGCCAATATAGT